ACAGTCCAGTCCCCATGGGGGGATGACATGTCCTCAGGGGAGAAGCTTGTCACAGAAGTGATGCTGGCCCGCGATTCGTCCAGAGGGGATATAAGTTCTGTCCATTTGCTAATCTCAGCTTCGTTGCTCACAGGCCCCTTCCCACCAACAGCACCCAAAGGTGCCTCTGCTGAGAAAAGCAGCGTCCGGCTGATTAGCTGCTGCACAACTGTAGCCTGGAAGCTTCCTAGGTGAAGGCCCTGCTCTTGAGAGGTGGCACACGAGCAGCAATTCCCGTCCTCTTCATCCAGGCCAGATGTCTCAGCACCACTTTCTACTTCATAGATAGTGGAGAGGATCTCTGATGGACATGGTCCCCAGGGGAAGGGCAAACCAGCCCCATTGTCACCTACAAACAGGGCAAGGAGGCTTGGGTTGGAAAGAGTGGCCCTCAGGGTGGGAGTTGGGGTTGACAAACAAGGTGAGGAAGTGACAGACAAGAACAGACAGGAGAGTGGGAAAGTGGCCAAGGTTCAGCTCTCAAGGTGCTTCTCAGCCTGGCAAGAACCACATCCCCAGATTCCGGGACTGTGCTGTGAAGCTAGCGGTCTCAGCACTGGGGTTACTGATGCTGTGTAGAAGGCTCTCCGCCCAGGACTCCAGAGTCGGTTCAGACTCTTCAGCTGCCTCACCTAATGTCAGCTGGTCCTGCCAAATGGTCTGCTTCTTATAGTGGAGCATGAGCTATCTCGGGGGTGGCTTTTTGGAAAGTACTGCTTGGTGCACTGTTAAAGCAAAGCAGGACTCTACAAATACAGATGAGCTAATGTCTGCCTCTCCATTTCTCAAAGAAAGAGGGATAGATGTGAAATACATTTAGGTCTCAACAAGGTAAGTTTGAACATCCTATTAGGGCTGCTTGCTCTGAAGTCCACGGTAACCTAGGAGTTCTTGCTTGGCAAGTTTCACTTTAAGCCAGCTACAGGAGGAACAAAGCAAAAGACTCCAGCAACAAAGCTAGAGCACATGCTAGTTTACATTGCCTGAGGGAGTCCCAGGAACTATTGTTGCTGGGTAGGCTTGCCAAGTCCCGGGGGGTGGGGACCCGCCCCAGAGGCCCGTTCCCAGCAGCTGGTGGATCGGGCCCGGGGGACACCCCACCCCCCAAAGCACAGGACGTGCCCGGCGTCAGCACGTCACCCCGCCAGGGGCGGGGCCGCGGTCATCCCAGGGAAAACTCTATGTTTTTCCCTCGGATGACCGCAGCCCCGCCCCGGCGCGCCCGCGTCACTTCCGGGTGACGTGCTCGCGGGCGCTCTCGGACCAAGCCAGGAGTCCCCCGCTGCGGCTTAAGGTAGGACTTGGCAACCCTATTGCTGGGAACTTGAGTCCCCCCCCCCATATGAATTTGTCAGGCCATTACAATTCCATCTGGAATTAATCTTTCTGGTCAACTACAAGAGTTTGTTGGCAGGTGGGTATCAACCTACATGTTCTCCATCCATCCCCCTTCCTTTTGGAATTTCTCAAATTTAAGGCAATCAATTACTACACATTCAAATACCAACTACATTAAAGGAGGACTGCAAAGTTCAGACTACTGAAAGTCAGCTGCATCCATTTGTCTTGCTCCTGGCCCACTCACTGCATTTAGGAGAGGTTGGCCCAGACTGTGGTGCTGCTTGTGACCAGCTCAATGGATGTTAGGAGCACCACACAGCTTCTTATGCGCTGGATCACGCCCTGCCCAAGTACAACAAAGTCTCACTTTCTCCTGGAACCCCAGTTGGCAGTTTTGTCCAAGGATGGAAAGAGAAATTACACCCTGGAACAGCTTAAAGCAACCACCACTAACTTAGGCGTTAAGACCAGGAGGGTGTAGCTGCTGCTTATAGACCAGCGTTCTGCAGTGCTACTTTATCCCCTTGCCATACAGATTCACTGAACTTCTGCCAGCTGTATGGAATGGCATGAGCCACAAATGGCACAGAAGCCTTACCTGCCCCTGGCACTGGAAGGAGAGGTCTAGTTCCTACAAAATGGGCAGCTGAAGACTAGGCCTCCCTTCCAACATCTCAACAGCCAGCTTTAAAAGTTTGAACGCTGCCCCTTTTCCCCACCATCCCTTTCTTTCCAAGGTCAATAAATAGAAGGCAGGGACATGTCTCCTGGAAAAACAAGACAGGCCAGGTCATCAGATAGACAAAGTGATGCTTTATTTATTATGTCAAAAGGCTACCCTTCTCAGAAGAACACTAAAATACACACAGCTTCCCCTGAGGAAAGTCTGTACAGGGTTAAGGGAAAAGTTCTCAAAAAACACAGAGAGACAGAAGTGTGCCTATTTGGCTAGAGACACAAATGGAACAAATACACATGAAGGGGCGGGGGCATCTCCCTTCCCTACAGGGTACTATTGCACAGTGAGATACCACAGGTTGGCACTGACACAGACAAGGCAGGCTTCCATCTATACATTACCTGCAGCCAGGTTATGAGTGGCAGTGAAAGGTGGGGATGACTCTTCATCCTGCCCTCGGGCCTTCTGGGAAGCTGGTGTGTCTGGCGCCAGGTGCTCCCAATCCACAGGTGTCTTGCTATGGGGCTCCTTAGGGAGGGGCTCCTTGCTGCCCTCTGTGGAATGCTCCTCGCTCTCCAGGGAAGAAAGGCCGGGACTCTTGCCGCAACTGTCAGTGGAATGGAGGTGGAAGGCACCGAAGACATCGCAAGAAGCCGCCGAGTTGGTCGAAGCAGGGGTCTCTGTGCCAGCATCACCAGAGCCTGGCTCGTCAGACTCCTCCACCGAGTGGGGCAAGGAGGGCTTGCCAGGGGGAGACCTGGAGAGGCACATTGTTTGTGTGAAGCCCGGGTCCTTCAGGAGGTCTGCATCCAGCTCTACTTCCTCCTCCTCTGAAGAGGACACTGTAGGCTCAGTGGGTGGGTCACCGAGGATTTCGTCAGCTGGCAGAGTCTCTGCCTCATCATCTCCTTTCTCCATGTGGATGCCCAGGTCTAGCTCGCCAGGCAGGTCCTCCAGGGGGCTCAGCAGCTGGTGGCAGGTCTGTTCCAGTTTCTCATCAGACTTGGATTCCACCCCCGAGCTACTGTCGTAGTCCCGCAGCTCCTCTGGGGTGCTGGTCTCGCTGCTGCTCTTGCCAGCCAGGTCAGGGCCGCTTAAGGTGCTGGATTTGGAGGAGGAGCCCCCTCTTTCAGGGGAGTGGCCCTTCAACACTGTGCTACTCAGCAGCAGTTCTGGAGCCTCAGGAAGCTGAGCAGGCGGCTCCTGCAACAGCTCAAGGCTCTTCAAGGGCAAAGTCTGAGGCTTGGCCATCGACATCTGGCCAATGCCACTACCTGGCGACATCTCCCCTGAAAGACAGGGCAAAAGATCCGGATCTCTGCACTTGGGAGCATCCTCTTGTTTCAGGCTGCCAAGACACACCTCAGCCATGGCATCGCCCCCGGGGCCTCTGATGCAAGAAAGTTCACCCGCAGAGCCGGATGCAACACCGTGGCCTGCAGAAGCATCTCCCATTGACTCTGCAGGGAGAAAGGCCACTTCATCTGCAGGCAAAGGGAGAGGAGACTTGTCCTCATCAGGCTCACTGGTGTCTGGATGGTCCCCTATAGGCAGCACTTCCACCAATTCACCTTCAGCGGGAACGACAGCTCTGTTTGGCTCTTCTGCCTGAGGAGCAGTGGCTAACTCTTGAGCGCCTTCAGTACTCAGAGGCATCTTTGCTTCAAAGTCTAAAGGGCTCACCCTTAACCTCTCATTGTCCACCTCCACAGGAGAAACTTCCCTCTGCCACTCTTCCTCTTCACTCAGAGGCAGGGCGACTCCCTCGGCCAGTTCGCCAAAGCCGCTGTGCCCGTCACCATCCTCAGCTGCCTGAGGCTCAGTCACTACTCTCAGGGGAGAATCTACCCAGCTGGCTGAGGGAGATGGTTCCACCTGAAAGGCTGGCTCCTCCTGTGTCCCTGCCATCAGCCCTGGCAGCTCCATAGGTTGGACTTCTCCAGCAAGCCCAACAAAGGAGGCAGGAGAAGGAAGCCCACTGACGCAGCTCAGCACAGAAGCTTCCTCCTTAACCAGTATCTGGGAATCTTCATCTAGGGAGGAGGCTGATAGGCCACAGACATCTTCACAAGACACAGCAATTTCAAGCAATGGGTATGGCTGCTCAGCGGGCACTGGAGTATCTGAGCCTGGAAGCACTTGGTCCTTTGAGTGTTGGAAGTCTGTGCCTTCTCCACTAGGCTGCAGAAATTCTGATGGTGGAATCTGGTAATCAAGTGCCAAGTGAGTAGGAAAAGACAGCTGGCAGAGTAGCTCTGTGTGCAAATTCGGTGTTTCATCTGGGAGCTCTGAGACCTCAGGGAGAGGCAAGTGAGGCGTTTCACTGGGAGAAGAGACCTTCACATCTTGCAGACTAGGAAAGACCAGAAATGGTGCTTCCAGCACTGGAGGTGATGCCTGTGGAGCTATTACATCCAGCTGCCCAGCCCCATCCTCCCTCCCTCCCATGTCCATTGGCACACTTTGCTCAGTCTCCTGTGCTTCTAGCCTGCTGGTCTCAGGTTCTTTCAAGACAAGCTGGGCATCAGCCTCTACCTCTGTTGTAGGCTCCAGTTCCACAGGCCTTGTATCCTCAATGCGGGTACTTTCTACTTCAGCAACAGCTGACTTTGCATTCCCTTCATCAGTTGCCTTCTGAAGCTTTTTTGGAGTAGCAGCTTGCTCTTGGCTTGGAAGAGCATCTTTCTTGAGAAGCTTCTTGCCCGGACTGCTCCCTGCAGCCAGTACCTTGAGCGCAGGGGCTCTGTATGGTGTTGCTGGACGGGCACTACCAGCAGCTGTCTTGAGAGGAGTTCTGGGCTTAGGTGCCTCCAAAAGCTTCTTCTCCAGAAGCCTGGCATTCACAGATGCAGTCACATTCTTCTGTCCAAGGCTTGGCTCAGATTGCAGCTTGGAATTTGGAAGCTTGAGAGGTTTGGCACCAGGTAACTTTTTCACAGTAGGGTTAGTGCTTGAAGGCTTGGCCTTTGGGATGGTGGCGGCTCTGATGGGATCTGCAAGACAAACAAGACCTTAAACACTGGTTGGAGAAGCATGGCTTCATGTAGCATGTGGACAAGCATGAAGAAGGTTTAATGGTTTGATCAGGGATGTATCCAATGGTGTGAGCATGGGAGGTGGTGCCCCCTACCCACACAGCCCCTCCCCCCTGACAGCAAAGCCTGCTAGTTCCCTCCTCCCAGAGGGCAAAAGAGCCTGGAGTGACTTTGGAGGGACAGGCGTCAGCCACACGGTTCCTCCCCCATGCCTGTTCCTTCTGCGCCGCCCCTCTCTTCCCTCCCCATCTGCCAGCTGAGCAGGCAGGCAGGTTTAAACTTAAAACCCCCTCTCTGGAGCAGCGCTGCAGCAGCGGCACAATTTCTCCATTGGATACAATGGAGAAATCATGTCGCAGCTATGGCATGACTCCAGAGAAGGAGTTTAAAGTTTAAACCCCCTCACTCCTCAGCTGGCAGGCCTCAGCACCAGCATTAAATTAAGGGTGGAGGGTTACATTTAAATTAACCCCCCCCCACACAGAGTTCTTCCTGCCCACCAGCTCCCCCCCCCATTGGCAGCCCCAGGGGTGGAAACTAGTCAGAGGGTCAAAAATACTGATTTTACTAACCAAAATTAAAAAAAACTGACCAAATACTGACCAAAAATCTGACAAATTACTGAACAATTTAATGCCAGCCTACTGATAAGCTAGTGTTTTAAATGTAAAACCAGGACTTCATTAAAAATTATTAGTATCTGTCCTCTACCATCCCCATAGCCAGCCCCATAGTTAGATGTGGCCCAGATAAAAGGATTGCACACATTTTTATTGAATGTTTGTTCTGAATAGAGGACAATGTTTTCGTTATTGTACAAAATTTAAGGCAAAAAAAGATTCCCTTTCAAAAATAATCACACACGGCAGATAATAAAACAGCAAGAACATATTAAAAACCAAACATAAAGTAATAATTATGACAACAAAACATAATTACTGTAAGGTGAGGCTTGCCTTTGCTTTTACTTTATCTTTGGTTTTTTGATGAAAAAAGAACTGGCCAGCAGCCTGCCACCCCTGGTGGAGGCCGTGTCGGGCTGGGCATTGGAACGCCCTAGACTGATTGTCCTGTGTGATTTCAGTGTCCATGCAGACAATGTGGACTCCACTCAGGTGATGGACCTAATGTCATCCATGTTGGCGCTGGGACCCTCCCCATATGTAACAACTCCCACTCACCGGGCCAGACACACGCTCGATCTGATCTTCGCGGCAGGGGTCAAGTGGACTGGATCACTGCCTCAGCAGTGCCATGGTCAGACCATCATGCCCTGAAGGCCCATCTGAATGTTTCACCCTGACCCTCTTTGGGCAGCAAGCAGATTTCAGCTCACCCGCAGAGCCAAATGGACCCCATGTGGCTTCAAATGGCCCTGCGGGATCTGATGCCCTCTGGCAGCTCATTAGATGAGCTTGTGAAGGATTGGCACAGCTGACTTTCAGCGGCCATTGATGAGATCGCTCCCTGACGCCCTCTGCACCCTCACTCTTGGCTGGCTCCTTGGTTTACCCAGGAGTTGCGGCTGATGAAGCAAAGGCTAGGATGGCTAGAGAGACAGTAGCGGTGCACTTATAGGATGTTTATGAGATCCTACGAGATGGTAATCAAAGCCACTGAGAGTACTATACGGTCATGATTGCGTCTGCGAGCTCATGCCCAGCCCAATTATTTAGAATAATTTGGTCTATGACTGTTCTGCGACAAGGCAGACCAAATGTTAGGGAATTGGACACTGGCTGTGAGGCCTTTGTGAGCTACTCTGCAGATAAAGTTCTGTCG